AAAGTATATAAACAGTCTCAACACCTTCCTCACGTGAACTCATCTTTTAAAACAAACATTTTATTTTGAAGATCACTAATGCCAACGTAGCTGTCACCTGACGTTGTCGTCCAATCAGGAGCGAGCGGCCGAGAGTTTGGACCAATCAGCTTCGAGGAGGCGCTATTTGAAAGCAGCTGGGTTGTTTACCTGCTCGGTGTCTCGTGTCTGTGGTCGGTTGTTGTCGGTTGTCGTCGGTGAATGTGAGTGAAGCAGAGTGAGTCCCCGGGTCTGTGGTTCAACGTCAGTAAACATGTCGTCAGTGGAGCTCCGCGCTGCGGTGAGTTTCTCTCCTGTTCGTCTCTTCACCGGATGTTTCCCGTTAGAACCGACTCATCCGGTTTAATGGTTTGATTTCTCCCGGTTCGTGTGTCGGTGTCCGTGAGCAGCTGTCCGCCGCAGACAACCCGCTGAAGATGGGTAAACCCGCGGCGGCGGGGCCCCGGAGGAGAGGGGCCCTCGGAGAGATCACCAACTTCCCCGGAGAAAACGTCGCCACGAAGGTAAGAAGCCGGAGGAAGAGTCCGGAGAGTTCGACCGGACGACTCCGAACATTTCCACCGGTTAGAAAGATTCAAACCATTAATCCTGCGGAGCCTCAGCTCTGAAGCTAACTGGCTAACTGGGCTAACACGAGAAGCCTGCTAGCATCGCCCTGCTAGCCACAAACGGCTAACCCCCCGATGCTGCTTTAAAAACAGATTTGACTGATAAACTAATAAACCTCAAAACAAACACAACGAGCTCCACGTTCAGACACGAAACATGTGATTCACACGCGTGTTCGTCAGCGAACTGACTCAGGAACTTTAGCTTCTCTGCGAATGTTTGCTAACAGGAGCTAACGGTCCTGCACAGGGCCCCTGTGGCCACTAGAGGGCCCCCCAGAGTAAGACGACGAGACGCTTGACGTAATAAACGTGATCATACAGACGCGTCGTTACGTCAGCGCTGCGGTTCAATAAAGTTTTTAATCAGCTGTGAAGTGAACCGGTTCTTCATGAGTCCATCAGAACACGTGACCTCAGTGTCCCTGGTACAGAAGACAAAACATGAGACACACACACACACACACACACACACACTCACTCACTTTGTCTGTCTCGTGTCCTCAGAGGGTCGGAGCAGCCAGAGCATCATCCAAACCCTCTTGTGGCCTGAAAGCCAAACCCGCGGTCCGGACGGTTCCTCCAGCGGTTCAGGTCCCAGCAGCTGCACATCCTGTCCCCTCAGTTCCAGAGGAGCCGGCCGACGTGTCCATGAAGGAGGAGCAGGAACTCTGCCGAGCTTTCTCCGAGCAGCTGCTCAGCGTGCAGGACGTGGACGAGCAGGACGCGGACCAGCCGCAGCTCTGCTCAGAGTACGTCAAAGATATCTATAAATATCTGCACGTCCTGGAGGTGAGTCCTGCTCGGCTCAGACGCACTCGCCGCTCTTCATCTGTTTGTGCGGTGCATTCAAACGCGCTCTGGCTCCGCAGGTGGAGCAGGCTGTCCGAGCGAACTACATGCAGGGTTATGAAATCACTGAACGCATGCGAGCTCTTCTCATCGACTGGCTGGTCCAGGTTCACTCCAGGTTCCAGCTGCTGCAGGAGACTCTGTATCTCACTGTCGCCATCCTGGATCGTTTCCTGCAGGTACCGAGCGTCTGTGCCGTCTTGCTCCTGCGTCTTCTGGTCCCAGTATTTAACGTTTTCTCGCCGCGCTGCAGGTCCAGCCGGTCTCTCGTAGGAAGCTGCAGCTTGTTGGCGTGACCTCCATGCTGGTGGCCTGTAAATACGAGGAGATGTACGCTCCGGAGGTCGGCGACTTTGCGTACATCACAGATAACGCTTTTACAAAGTCTCAGATTCTGGAGATGGAGCAGCTGGTTCTGAGGCGCCTCAACTTTGAGCTGGGACGTCCTCTCCCGCTGCACTTCCTCAGACGGGCGTCAAAGGTGGCGAAGGTGAGAAACTCTGTCACACGGATAGAGCGACGACATGAAGTTTTGCTGATTAACAGTTTAAAGTCTCTGGTTTGTCTCAGGCCGATGTGGAGGGACACACTCTGGCCAAGTATCTGATGGAGCTCACCCTCCTTGACTACGACATGGTCCACTATCGTCCCTCTGAGGTCGCTGCTGCGTCCCTGTGTCTGTCTCAGCTGCTGCTCGAGGGGCTGTCGTGGGTCAGTCTTTAACTCACACTTTAATAATCCGTCTCTTTGCTGTTGGAACCAAACGGTTTAACTCGTCCTCTCTCTTCATGTCAGTCTCCATCACAGCAGCACTACTCCACTTACGACGAGGCCCACCTCAAGCCCGTCATGCAGCACATCGCCAAAAACGTAGTGACTGTAAACGAAGGCAAAACTAAATTCCAGGTGAGTGGACCGAGGCGCAGTTTGGATTCTGAGTAAAAGAGACGATGTCCAACGTGAACGTCTTGTTTCTCCGCAGGCCGTGAAGACCAAGTACTCGAGCAGCAAACTGATGAAGATCAGCCTCATCCCTCAGCTGAAGTCATCGACCGTCAAGAACATGGCGGCTTCTCTGCTCAGCCCCTGACGACAGCGTGCACTTTATTTTAGTTTGATTGTTCTAGATTTTAATAAAATGTTTTTACTATTTTTCATCAACATCGTTTGTTCAGAGTTTTTGCTGCAAAGTTGGTTTTGTTGAAGAATTAGTTTCTTCCTTCCATCAGTGTGTGAAGTGGATTCTGTCGAGGTTCTGAGATTCACACTGATCTGCTTCAGTGTGGGAGCCGAGGATCTGATGTGACTCAGCTTCATCTGCTTGGTACGGTTGTTTTTCTCCGCTGGATCTTTTGTGGCCTCAGCTTTCAATCAGCAGCAGCGTCTTTGGAGGACGACTGTCTGTATTTACCCAGAATGACTTTGGACTCAACAGAAATCTGGAGCGTTGCACCGGCTGCTAATGTTTCTACCTCCAGTGAAAACTGACATTTACAGACTGGACTTCTCTCACACCTGAAGCCTGACCTGTGTGACGAACATGTGAACTGATCTGTTTTCAATCCGTGCAATATCAGTCTCTTGTTTGAATAAATCTGTTTAATTTAAGTTCAACTGAAGAGTTTGAGTTTTTATCTAATCCAGATTTTGTTTTAACCTGGTGAGTGATCCACTTTTAAACATGTGTGTCAGAGCACCGTTAGCAATTTGATCTATTTCAGGATTTAATCTTAAACTGAAGTAATTACACAAATACCTGAAGTAAACATTCATTAAAATGTAGAAACTAGGAACTTTATTGAAATGTTGACGTCTGCATCAGTTTAATGTTGTAGTTGGTCATTGAGGTACTTTTAATAACTTTATATAAAAATAGC